TATTATTATTATTATTGTTATTATTATTATTATTATTAATGTATTACTACCCGGGCATCTCAAATTATTATGCTCTGTCAACCTCAGTAAAACTGAGTATCTGTACTTTAAAAAAAAAGAAGATAAAGATGAGGAAATTTAAAAAAATATCGCTGGAAAAAAAGGAGCAATGGCTGAAAAATGTGTGGTGGGTCATCTGTGAAATGAAAGTGATCCCATTCGTTAATCACTAGTTACAGTGTAGTATGTAAACTTCGTGCCTCATTAAATAGTCTAAGCTTCAATGAAATCGAACCGACAAGGACGTGGAACATTTTCTGGCAGCAACACTTCTGCAAGACTTTGGCATTGAACAAGTTACTTTTGTCACTAGGTCTAGATGCGAACACACCATAAGGGCGGACTTATCTTAGATTTCTTAGAAATATTTAATTCCCTGACCGTTTTACTGATCTGAACACGCATCTGAATCTGCAGCTCAGGGATTCTCCTAACGATGTGACAAACTCACAAAATGTTCGACATTGTCATTTATAAAATGGCCGCCAAACTGAGAGTGCAAAAAAGCAAGGCAGTCCTCGAGAGAGCACGCGGTGTTGTGTGTTATTCCTTGCGGGTTTCTTTTCACTATCAAGGTAGCGTTTCCCTGTGCTTTTCTAAGCATTTTTTTTTCGTCATGTGAGCTTTTGTCCTCAAAATGTTTCGCTGCGCTTGAGTTATGACGCATTAAATTCATCAACCTTTGCATCTCATACCCCCCCCCCCCCACTCCGTTCCCCTTTTTTAAAAGAGCCTTGTCGGTCTAATTTTGACAGGGGCTCTGAACACCCGGGCACTTGTTATACACACTTAATCCGTTCAATCATTAATACTAATACTACTACTGCTAATAATGAGTCTTTTTTTAAAATGATGATAATAATAATAATTATAATAATAATAATAATAATAATAATACATTCCACTTATGTAGGGCATTTCCTCTAGGAAGGTGCTTATGGTAATGCGCTTTACAATAATGCAAAGATCATCTTGAACTAGATCTATGCAATTTTCGTTCTTCCCTTATGGGAGTATCGAGTATTTAACTGCCTTATGTTTTTGTATTTCAATTGCCACGCTGACAATCACAAGAAAAACACTTCTGAGCTCCTCAGTGAAAAACTGCGGAACCAATGGAATGTTTTTGTGAGAGCTCTAGCTAAAACCGTGCTGGGAATATTAATTATAATATAATACATTCATTAATATATCCTTGGTCATGCTGACAATAAGAACAAACCCACTTCTGAGCTCAACAGTGAAAGACTGCGGAACCAAGGAAATGACATAACCCATTATCCCCCC